CTGAGATCCAGAGCACTCATAGGATGCCTTACGGTGGACTCCTCAAAGAAAACCCCATGACTATGTCCCTATAAAAAGAGATGGCCCTTCCTTGGGCTTGCCTTGGTAAGAGCTTCAGGAACCTCCCCAGTCCTGTTCTGCCACCCCTTCATCACCGTAGTCTCTCCACTCCTCCTCCTTCCACATGGTTCAGCTTGCAGCAATCCTCTCCATTGCCAGTATCCTGAGGAGAACATGCAGGCTGTATCCTCTCCAAAACATGGGCAAAGAAGCGAAGAAGATACCGAAGGAGATGGGTCAACCTCTGGTGAACATTCAATGTTTAGGGTTTTTTTAAATTTTTTTTTTTAATTATTTTTTATTTTTTAAATGTGAGCAGCTCTTGACTGCATGGCTTCCCCATATGACTTCCCCTTCCAGGCTCATATCCTCTGCTGGCTCGTGCAAGCAGCTCCTTGTGCAGTCAGGTTCTGTTCTTTTGAGGCACCTGACCCTCCCCATGTAGAGTGCAAGCACCCCACATGGCGTTCAGCGAGCCAGGCATTTGAATGCACAATGTTATGGCATATTTGAGTATGGTTTAGGGTGTATCTCTTAATCCTCAAACTCTAAAAAATGCTAAATTCAAGTGGAAAATATAGATGAACTTGCTATGCGTTGTTCCATCTGTGGCTTGCCTAGAAGCAGAAATTATGTTGAGACTTTTTCAAGTCAAACTATTGTACAAACACATTGAAGGGAGGCATGTAAGAAGATACTTTTACCAGAAAACTTCACTCCTATCGAGAACTTGCTAGAACAGAAGCCTGGTAATATGTAGAAAAGCTGCCCTAGTGTTTCAAGAAACAAGAAAGATTATCAGTCCAGCTACACTGAAGAAGAAACAAGGAAAAAAAATGCCAGCTCCAAGCAAGCATGCCAGGGCATAACCCTCTCTGCTGATCTCCTCTCATAAGGGTCCAAGCCCATGAAAGAACCTGCAATCAATGGATGCTGAAGTCTACTGAAGGAGCAAGCAAGCCATTAATGTAACAAGCCAATGAACTTTGATGGACCTGACTTTTCAGGAAAATTAGCTGGATTGCCAGGGTAACCAAATCACAAAAGGACACAGGACACAATGAACACACGGAAGGGTACAGACATTTGCTGAGAAGTTCTATGGGCACAACAAAATCAAATGAAACTGGATGTCCTAGAAGATACTTTCATTATGTCTCTTGGCTGGATTCCACATCACAGAAACGTTTCTACAAGAATTGATTACCTCTCACATTCCAGGCCCTGGAGAGCTTCCCATGCCACTCAGAATAGGTAGGTCTTTTTGAGTACAGGCCGAGAGTGAGATCTAAGCCAGCTGGGCAAAACCACCATCTTTCAATTAGACATTACTATGCATATGACTGAATCCTGCGATCAACAAGCTGGAAGGAAAGAGAGTAAAAGGACTAGCCACTTACTTTACTCACATTTAGGAGCAGAATGTACATATAAAAGCAGATAAACTGGGGGTGACAGTAAGCTAATCTGAGCCAGAGAGCAAAGGCAGATCTTTTCCTGACACTGAGAATAACCTTATTCTGGCTAGTGACTAAGCAAATGGATCCAAGCTACAGAGTGAGGTCAAAAGCAACATCTCCCCAGCGTTTTGAAGAAGTTTTAGACTCATGGATTCAGTTCATCCTGAATCATGGGTCCTTCAGATCCAAAACTGAATGTTCCCCAAAGGCTGGGAATAGCCTGGATCAGCTCCTGCCTTGGTCTGTTTTCAGCTGCAGTCTTTGCAAATAAGACCAGCTGTTGCAGGACCTGGTGCCCCAACTGAGCCGTTTCCACCTCTCCATCCAGAGTCTTATTCTTCTTACACCCTCTCTACCTTCCTGGGCTTTTTGCTCATGTAGATACTTCTACTGCTTTCCAGAGGCATGTGGGCCTCCGGAAAACTGCATGGAAAACTGGTTGCATTTCCTAAAAAAAAAAAAAATTTTAAAACATCGCTGATCCATAAAAAGTCCCTCCCCCCCCCCCCCCAAAAAAAAAAAAGAAAAAAAAGCTCAGGACTCTCACTTACTATTTGGAGATCTCAGTTCAAACCCCTGCTCTACCTCTAACTTCCCATGTTCTAGAGAATCCATGCACCAGGTTAATGGCTTGTGGGTATTGATGACAACCAGATGACAACTGGTGGACAACTCCACCCCTTTATTTGCCCTGTTTCAGCTCTGACTTTGCACAAAACTACCCTCTGGAGCAAGGAGAAGCCAGAAGACTTGACTTAGGGCTTGAGAGAATAAAATTATTGCATCATTCCAAGCAGACGGGGAGGAAGCAGGAAAGCACTGTGACCATGGAAAAAGCAACAGGGAATGAGAAATTCTTGATTTCCACCACCAACTGGTCTTCCAGGAGAGAAGTCTTGTTTTTAAAATGAGATTAGAGCACTTTTCTTGATACAGATTGGGGGTATTTTCCAAAGATACCTTAGTGTGTTCCTGTCAAATAGCTACAGCATCTACAAATTTGTACTTCTGGATGAAAGGCGCTTTATCAAAAAGTTCCTGACAAGCTCTTGTCTACACAGCACATCACTGACATACCCGTGTGAAATCTGTGCAATAAAGAGAGGCTTCATTTTGTCAAATTATGAGGAAGAAATGGTCTTAGAATGAGTAAGAAGAAGCCTCCAAGATCTACTGCACCAGAGATTATCAATGCAGCACAGTGCACTGAGCCGGTGGCAACGGAAATACGGGGCAACGGGTACTAGGGAAACCAGGAGGCATGGAGAATAGGCAAGTCCAAAGCTCAAGATGAAACAACAACAAAAAGGAAACTACTTATCTGAGCTATCACATGAGCTGCTGAGCATCACGGATTTTTACTCAAGCTCTCCTCAGGTGAAAGAGCCTGACACCAATCTGTAGAGAGCGCTTGCGGACTGGAGAAAGATTGGTCTTGGGCGGGTGTTGAGAACACATTAGTAAAGCCCCAAGCAGGTGAAAGATATGGTCCTTGCAGAAACAGAGGGCACATTAGTGTGCCAGTGACGGGGCTGTCATTCTGATTCTTCCCTTCCGCTTTCTGCTCAGTGCTGTTTTTCTCAGTTTCTCCGAGGTTAAGGACAGATGGGAACCATTAGATCTTTGCAGCTCCTTTGGGAACTGTTAGTCAGACCTCTTGTATGTCACAGCCCTTCAAACTTCACCTGCTTACCTTGCCTGAGACTTGACTACAGTGTCACTCATGCTTTTAACTGCGGTTACAGCACATCCATCGGAAACATGCCCGTCTTGGCTTGGACACATCTGGAAAACACACCAACCGCCCTGACAGTTTGTTACAGTGATTAATCACCTTCATTCCAATAGATTTGTGCCCAGTTTTTCATATGAATTTATCTGGGTTCAGCTTGCTGCTACACATTCCCGTAATTTACTAGATTAAAGAGCCTTTCAGTACCTGATATTTTTCTCCCAAGGAAGTTCCTTCACCATCATAATCAATTCCCTGCTCAGTCTTTTTTGATAAGCTAGAGAGAGCGAGTGCTTCACGTCTCCCATTGCAAAGCATTTTCTCCAGGCTCTGAATCATTTTGTGTGGCTCTAATGTTCCACCACCCATTTTTCAACATCAATTTAAAACATGCAAGCCATCCCAGTGCAGGCCTCACGAATATTGTATGCGCTCATATCCAGTTGCTTGTCCCTTAGGACTCTTAAAAAAAAAGAAATCGGTTCAGAGTCTTAGGCAGATGCAAGCTGGCTTCCTTCTGGCTGGCATTTGGAACAATCAAAAACCAGCCACCAGTCACCTTCACTGGTGCTGCCATCTCAGCAGGTAAAGAGAAAGCATGACAAGGCTGTCTCCCTGCTTGTTCACGGTGACATGATGCAACACTGGAAAGCAAGGCTGCCCCTGCACAGGGGACTGCTCTGAGCATGGATCGCCCCAGGCACACCCAGACCACATCCATAGGGATAAACTAGCCAACGGGTACAGAGGGTGCTGTTAAACCCTCTTACTCATCAACGTGGAGTGGCTGCAGCCAGACTTTTTATGTCCATGCCTGGGAATTGTTTGGGAAAGTGCTAGCAGCCTGGGCCAACACTGTGCCAGGGACCATTTTGCTGTGGATCCAGCGAGCTCCAGTACCTGGGACTGCTCCCCACCACTGCCCCCTTTACCAAGAAAGATAAAACACCGTCTTAACACAGAAACAGCCTCCAAGAAGGGAGAAGGGGGGAAGCAACTCCCTGACTTTCTCCATCCCAACCCTCTTTCCTGACAAGTCAGCAGGGCTTTAGATCGGTGAGGCAGCAACAGGCTGGGGCATCCTTTTCCTGCACAGCGGTGGTCTGAGGGCTCACACTGACACTGGAGAGGCAGGATTTCCATCACAGCAGAGTCTCCAGCAGGCACATCAGGCCTCTCAGTGCAGCCTCGTGCTTCTCAGGAAGAGAAGGGACATGGGAAGAAAAGGCAAGAAATAAGGAAGAAAAGGCAGTAAAGGCACTTTTGCCTAAGCTCAGAGGACAGCTTGTGTCTGAGGTCTTGCGTCACGGTGCAGCTGGGACAAAACCCAGGCTGGCAACCTCACGTGGGCTGATACTTTAGCCCTGGGGGGTCCCTAAGCTGCTCGCCCTACATCAAAGATCCACCCAGCACTGGCACCCTGAAGATTTCTCATGGCAGGACTGTCCTGCTGTCACGTGTCAGAGTCGAAACAGCCGTCACCCAGATATTCAATGCCAACAAAGCTGGTGGCCCTTCACACCTGTCATAGGCAGATGAGGCATCCAGGCTGAGCCTAAATACAGCTTTTTGTACTGTTCCAGGGTTCTCGGATCAGGAGGTTGAGGGAAAAGTGATTTGGGGAAAAGATACACACACACACACACACCCAACCTCAACAGAAGGGAACAAAAATACTTGATGGGTAATATTTTATTAGATTTTGGCTAAAACAACCAGAATTTCTCTTTCTCCACAGAATTTTCCCCTTTCTTATATTCTGTCAGTGGCAGAAAATGCTGAATCACAAACCTGGAGCTTTAAAAAAAAAAAAAAAAAAAAAAAAAAGTATTTCATAGGCAGAAGAAATGTATCTTACATCAGTTCATGCTTCCTGCTCCGCTCTCTGGTGCCACGTTCCTCATTTTCAGGCTGTTTTAAAGGTCAGCTTCACAGACTAAATCCTGACCTCAAACATGGGAAATATGCTGCCTCATCACTCCAGGATCTTTTCTCTTTTCTCACATGATTAGTCCCAACATTCCTGCAAGTAGAACAGTCCCCATCACCACTGCTGCAGCCAAAAAAGAAGAAAAAAAAAAAAAAAAAGGCAAGATATTTTTTCTTTCCATTCCCAAAGTTAATATTCACCACTGTCGCAGCCTCATTTCATAGGCTGGGGGCTACTTCAACAGTGTAATGCTATTGCCATCTATGGGCAAGTAATAGTCTTACCAGTCATACTTACAAGTTAAAGTTGGAATACATACCTAAACTGACAACTACTCTCAGGAAAGTTTTAAAGGACTTTAAAGAGGATTTTATTTAAGATTTTTCTAACGGCTGAGATATAGGATCTGGATAAAAGGTATTCACAGACAGCCGTTACTTCTCATGGTATTTGCCTTAATCCTAATTATGTAGTCATTCAACTGGCTTCATTTTGCCTGAATAATTTTATTTTGATGCCATAATTTGAGCAGGTGGAAGAGGTCAACCCAGAAGAAGCACACATACTCTATGTATTTTAAACAAATTATCTGTATTTATTTGAAATGACTATTATTTATCAGATGTTTAAAGGATGATGGACAGCACAACAGCAATGAACAAGCTTCAGTGCTATAGGAAAGCTGAAGATAAATTTGCTTACTTAATAACTCTTCTAAAAATGTAAGATTTCAACCTTAATAGAAGAACAAGTCAATCTACTGGTTATGAATGACAAATACATACTGACAAAATAGTTTGATTGAAGTGTAAGAGTTACTGCAAACTCTTTTTAGCTTACTTAAGCCTCTAAGAAAGAATCTGGCTCTATTTCAGTAACCCAGCAGACCATGTTCATATGAAAATTTTGTTGTCAGCATCTGTAAGAAATATAAAGCAAAACTGAAGCTCCCACTCACTGGGAGACTCTACAGATGACATTTAAAAGAAAGCACAACACCACAGCAAGATGAAGTATGGGTTTTCTGTTCAGTCATAACAAGCCAGATCGTTACACTGCTCTCAGGTTCATTATAAAGGCATAAAGATTGCCTCCCATGCCTTCAGAGCTCACTGCCGGGTGGCACGGGCCATGCATGGTTAACTTGTCAGCCTTGGCCTCTTCTTGGTCCCCGCTAAACCCGTAAATGCCCAGGCCCTGAGGGCAAAGATTGCCCCACAGCTTGTCACTCAGCAAAAAACCAAAAAGCAGCTAAGGCATCGAACCCATCTCAGTCCCTTGCCAGAGGAAGGGCACCGTAAGACTGAACTTCATAGAAGTTGTATGAAAAGAACTGAAGCACTAAGTCCTCTTCTAACGAAGTCAGAACAAAAACGTTTGGATAAGATTTCTGGAAGAAAGAGCCAGAGGTGTTTGTGAATAAGCACAAGAATAGGCACTTCCAGTGACGGCAGAACTATAAACAAAAGCACTTTTGTGCACTCCCGGGTTACTTGCTCTTATTTTCTCTTACAGTCACATGCTTATGTGGGCCTGTACTGTTTGAAAACATGATTCATTAAGACGCCTTAAATTGCAACCAAGTATTGTACTATTAACACTGACTTTGTTTTAACTTTCCTGTTACTTAGCATAATTTGTTTCATAACTGTCTCTCTTATGTGACCAAATACCTGCCAAATCCTTTAAAAGTTTTTGTTGATATGTGCACTATATTGCCAAAGCATTTCAGA